GATTGGCAGAGGGGGGTGGAGGACACTGAGTGGAGGCCAGTGGAGGGATTGGCAGAGGGGGGTGGAGGACACTGAGTGGAGGCCAGTGGAGGGATTGGCAGAGGGGGGTGGAGGACACTGAGTGGAAGCCAGTGGAGGGATTGGCAGAGGGGGGAGGCGGATACGGAGCGGTTGGTAAGGTGGATGAGTCTGGCCGCAGTATTCAGGATAGACTGAAGCGGGGATAGTCTCTGATGAGGCAGGCCAGTGAGGAGGGGAGTTGCAGTAATCGAGGCATGATATGATGAGGGAGCGGATGAGTTGCTTTGTAGTTTCCGGGGTTAGGAACGTATTTTGGAGATGTTGCGGAGGTGGAGTCTACATGGGTTTGTCAGTGATTGGACCTGGGGCTGGAAAGACAGATTGGAGTCTAGGATGACACCTAGTACTGTGGCATGGGGGTGGGACTGATGGTGGCATTGTTGGTCATGATGGAGAAGTCAGGGGAGTGTATATATCTTGTATCTGGGTTAAAATAAACTAGTCTACTTCCTGGTTTACTTCAAGACCGGTGTTGTCTAGTCTTGTATGGTCAGCTGTGGTGTCTATGGTCGGTGTTCGGACGGGGAAGCAGTATTCTAATGAAAGTACCCAAGCGCAGACTGGGTCGGTTCCTTTACACACCCCTTTAGGGTAACTTCAGACTAGGCTTGGAGCACTTGATACAACTTTTACTGAGCAAATGCAGCATAGTCCATCATGAACAGTAGTACCATCACCCCCTGACTCTCTCATTAGTTGGCTCAACAAGGTGTTAGTCCATCTCTGGCATTGTCCATAAGGTGGCACTCTCCGAAATCTGGTATCTTCAAATGGACTTCAGGGGCACCCCTTCGTAGCCTGGCGGTATCACAGCATCCTGATCAAGCGGGGGGGCTCTGTTTACTCAGCTTTCCCCCATTTATATACTGTATATCACAGCGCAGGCTGGGTCCAAATAGCCCGGGAACTGAGCAAAACCAATTAACCCCTTCCCCAGCCTGGGCCAGACGACTGCCTAGCTGCCTAATTCAGGCAACCCCCCTACAAGTGCAGCACCAATTTTGATGTTTATTATATGTATTATCCCACGTTGTGGGAGCTGCTTTTCCTCTATATTTCGGTTTATCCACAAGCGCGGTTTCAGTTGTATTTTTTTTAGCATTCTAACCCTTACAGAGGATCAAACCCATTCCCACTTCAAAAAGTGTTGTGGCCGGAGTTCCACAAAAAAGCAAACCTTGTTCAGTCTAATGAACATGTAATGTGCAGCACAGTACGGTGGTTGTGACACGTTAATGTCATAGAAATAGCGCCCCCCCCAGGCCCCTGGAATTCCCTGCACCTGCAATCTACATTCAGACATAAGGGGTCCGTGCCGTCATTTTCTAGAAGTTTTGCCGTGCAGCAACTTATGAATTAGTCATCCGTCTGCAATGGAAGCACATTATGGGTAATTTACTAAGTACATTGCAATTGCCAACTCTGCAACTAAATGCCTTCATGCTGTCAATTTGCACATGAGAGGCGTACAAACATGTGCAATCACGGCGAGGAAATCGGTTTTATTGTGCCACTTGGACTTTTAACAAAACAACGTTCAGAATGCGGGATTGCTGAGGGTAGAAGGTTCGGGACTTTTTGTTTTTTCAAATGGGAACACTCTGTGCAACTTTTAGCGCAATCTTGGCTGATGCCGGTTTTCAAAGAGTTAATTCTTCCTCCTACTTTCTTCTTCCTTCTATTTACCAAACCTGATTGGTGTGTTGAAATTTTAACCCGATTCATGACCACAATACCCTTTTTTAAAAAAATGTCCCTTGCCTTGGGTACAATGATTACCTTTGCAGCAGAGAACTAGGAGTGTGCATCTGTGTGTGTCCCTAGTCATAGAAACGGGGAGTCATAGATTGATGGCTAACGCTGGGCTCCAGGCATGGTGCAACTGGGCGCAATGGAAGCATACATACACTATTTTACCAAAAGTATTGGGCCCGCCCTCCACATCATGTGATTCAGGTGTTCCAATCCCCTCCACATCATGTAATTCAGGTGTTCCAATCCCCTCCCTGTCATGTGATTCAGGTGTTCCAATCCCCTCCCAATCATGTGATTCCGGTGTTCCAATCCCCTCCCTAGCATGTGATTCAGGTGCTCCAATCATGTGATTCAGGTGTTCCAATCCCCTCCCTATCATGTGATTCAGGTGTTCCAATCCCCTCCCTATCATGTGATTCAGGTGTTCCAATCCCCTCCATGGACACAGGTGTATACAATCAAGCCCCTAGACATGCAGGCGGCTTCTACAAACATTGGTGAAAGAATGGGACGCTCTCAGGAGCTCAGTGACTCCAAGCGTGGTCCCGTGATAGGTGGCCACCTGGGCAATAAATCCATCCGTGACATTTCCTGGCTACTAAATATTCCACGCTCAACTGTTAGTGGGATTATAACAAAGTGAAAGCCACTGGGAACAACAGCCACTCAGTCACCAAGTGGTAGGCCACGTCACATGACAGGGCGGGGTCAGCGCATGCTGAAGCGCACAGTGCGCAGAAGTCACCAACTGTCTGCAGAGTCAATAGCTAAAGACCTCCAAACTTGGTGTGGCCTTCAGATGAGCCCAACAACAGTGCGTAGAGAGCTTCATGGAATGGGTTTCCATGGCCGAGCAGCTGCATCCAAGCCTTCCATCACCAAGTGCAATGCAAAGCGTCGGATGCCGTGGTGTAAAGCATGCCGCCACTGGACTCTAGAGCAGAGGAGACGTGTTCTCTGGAGTGACCAATCACACTTCTTTGTCTTTCAATCCGATGGACGTTTCTGGGTTTGGCGATTGCCAGGAGAACGGTACTTACCTGACTGTATTGTGCCCAGTGTAAAGTTTGGTGGAGGGGGGATTATGATGCGGGGGTTGTTTTTCAGAGGTTGGGCTTGGCCCCCTAGTTCCAGTGAAAGGAAAAATTAAGGTGACATTTTGAACAATTTCATGCCCCCAACTTTGTGGGAGGAGTTTGGGGATGGCCCCTTCCTGTTCCAACATGACTGCCCACCAGTGCACAAAGCAAGGTCCATAAAGACATGGAGGAGCCAGTTTGGGGTGGAGGAACTTGACTGTCCTGCACAGAGTACTGACCTCAACCCCATAGAACACCTTTGGGATGAATTAGAGCGGAGACTGCGAGCCAGGCCTCCTCCCCCGACATCAGTGCCTGACCTGACAAATGTGCTTCTGGAAGAATGGTCCAACCTTCCCATAGACACCCTCCTAAACCTTGTGGACGGCCTTCCCAGAAGAGTTGAAGCTGTTATAGCTGCAAAGGGCGGGGCCAACTCAATATTGAACCCTACGGACTAAGACTGGGGGGCCATTAAAGGTCATGTGTGTGGAAAGGGCGGGGCCAGCTCAATATTGAACCCTACGGACTAAGACTGGGGGGCCATTAAAGGTCATGTGTGTGGAAAGGGCGGGGCCAGCTCAATATTGAACCCTACGGACTAAGACTGGGGGGCCATTAAAGGTCATGTGTGTGGAAAGGGCGGGGCCAACTCAATATTGAACCCTACAGACTGAGACTGGGGGGCCATTAAAGGTCATGTGTGTGGAAAGGGCGGGGCCAACTCAATATTGAACCCTACAGACTGAGACTGGGGGGCCATTAAAAGTCATGTGTGTGGAAAGGGTGGGGCCAACTCAATATTGAACCCTACGGACTAAGACTTGGGAGCCAATAAAGGTCATGTGTGTGGAAAGGGCGGGGCCAACTCAATATTGAACCCTACGGACTAAGACTGGGGGGCCATTAAAGGTCATGTGTGTGGAAAGGCCGGTGGCCCGATACTTTTGGCTATATAGTGTATGTCATACCTGTGGGATCCCTGAAGAAGCAGATAATCACTGTTGTCTTCAAGGCCCTGACCAGAGGGGATGCCCTGCTGTATGCTAGTATGCTGAAGACAAGGGGGTGGGGGGGGCATTCGATTTGCACAGGTGCTTTTCACAGAATGCCTTTCATTTTTCTCAAGGAGGTGAAGAGGTAGATTGGTGACAGCACAGGGATTGAGGGAACCCCTTATAATGGGCACAGCGGGTGTACAGACCCAGGACCTCAGTACAAGAATAGTGGGAACCCCTCATTAAGGGCACAGCGGGTGTACAGACCCGGGAACTTAGCAAAGGTATTGTGGGAACCCCTCATAATGGGCTCAGTGAATGTACAGACCCGGGAACTCAGTACAGGCATGGTGGAAACCCCTCATAATGGGCACAGCGGGTGTACAGACCCGGGAACTTAGCAAAGGTATTGTGGGAACCCCTCATAATGGGCTCAGAGAATGTACAGACCCGGGAACTCAGTACAGGCATGGTGGGAACCCCTCATAATGGGCACAGCAGATGTAAAGACCATAAATAAGATTTTGGTCGATTGACATTTCCCTTCAAATGATTTTGTTTTCTTATTAAATTGAGGGAAAGTGTAGCAATGTTAGTGGCAGTGTACAGATATATGAAGTGATATTACGATCGAATATTTCATCTGCTCTGTTTGGTTGGCTCAATCAATATGGATCTTTCCTCTGAGTTTTCCATGCGGGGGAGGGGGAGGGTGCGCTGTAATAACCATTGGGAAGTTATTTCTCCTTTGGGGCGGATAACATTTCATACTAAATTAAATATTTCTCTCCATTTCTCCCCGCGCTCCGCTCTCCCCGGCAGCGAAATCAGCTTCCTCCACAAGTTTTATAAAGGAGGCTAAATGAGCGACTTCCAGTAATTACAAAGAGGGGAAAGTTTCCACAAACATTCCAGTTCATCATATCCTCCCATCAGGGGACTTCCATCCTCCAACAATGGAAGAGGAAGAATAGAGACTGCTATTAGTAGCCCCTACTGAAAATACCAGTTCCCTGGCAGCCATTCTGGTCCAGCATAGGCTTTACCCCCCCCCATCCCCACAGCTACCCTCACATTGGGGGTCAGTGGGAAGAATGTCCCTTACATTGGTGGTCAGTGGGAAGAATGTCCCTTACATTGGGGGTCAGTGGGAAGAACGTCCCTTAGATTGGGGGTCAGTGGGAAGAATGTCCCTTACATTGGTGATCAGTGGGAGGAATGTCCCTTACATTGTGGGTCAGTGGGAAGAATGTCCCTTACATTGGGGGTCAGTGGGAAGAATGTTCCTTACATTGGGGTCAGTGGGAAGAACGTCCCTTACATTGGTGATCAGTGGGAAGAATGTCCCTTACATTGGTGATCAGTGGGAAGAATGTTCCTTACATTGGGGGTCAGTGGGAAGAATGTCCCTTACATTGGTGATCAGTGGGAAGAATGTCCCTTACATTGGTGGTCAGTGGGAAGAATGTCCCTTACATTGGGGGTCAGTGGGAAGAATGTCCCTTACATTGGTGATCAGTGGGAAGAATGTCCCTTACATTGGGGGTCAGTGGGAAGAATGTCCCTTACATTGGGGGGTCAGTGGGAAGAATGTCCCTTACATTGGGGGGTCAGTGGGAAGAATGTCCCTTACATTGGAGGTCAGTAGGAAGAATGTCCCTTACATTGGAGGTCAGTAGGAAGAATGTCCCTTACATTGGAGGTCAGTGAGAAGAATGTCCCTTACATTGGGGGGTCAGTGGGAGGAATGCCCCTTACATTGGTGATCAGTGGGAAGAATGTCCCTTACATTGGGGGTCAGTGGGAAGAATGTCCCTTACATTGGAGGTCAGTGGGAAGAATGTCCCTTACATTGGAGGTCAGTAGGAAGAATGTCCCTTACATTGGAGGTCAGTGGGAAGAATGTTCCTTACATTGGGGGTCAGTGAGAAGAATGTCCCTTACATTGGGGGTCAGTGGGAAGAATGTCTCTTACATAGGGGGTCAGTGGGAAGAATGTCCCTTACATTGGGGGTCAGTGGGAAGAATGTCCCTTACATTGGGGGGTCAGTGGGGAGGAATGCCCCTTACATTGGGGGTCAGTGGGAAGAATGTCCCTTACATTGGGGGTCAGTGGGAAGAATGTCCCTTACATTGGTGATCAGTGGGAAGAATGTCCCTTACATTGGGGGTCAGTGGGAAGAATGTCCCTTACATTGGGGGTCAGTGGGAAGAATGTCCCTTACATTGGGGGTCGGTGGGAAGAAAGGTTGCATTGCTTCCCAAACTATATAGGCCCCATCACATAAGAGGACAAGCAGCTACAGCTCAAGGAACCCCCATCTATCTATCTATCTATTATCTATCTATCTATCTATCTATCTATTATCTATCTATCTATTATCTATCTATCTATCTATCTATTATCTATCTATCTATCTATCTATCTATCTATCTATCTATCTATCTATCTATCTATCTATCTATCTATCTATCTATCTATCTATCTATCTATCTATCTATCTATTATCTATCTATTATCTATCTATCTATCTATCTATCTATCTATCTATCTATCTATCTATCTATCTATTATCTATCTATTATCTTCTATCTATCTATCTATTATTATCTATCTATTATCTATCTATTATCTATCTATCTATCTTTCTATCTATTATTATCTATCTATTTATCTATCTATCTTTCTATCATTATCTATCTATTATCTATCTATCTATCTATCTTTATTATCTATTATCTATCTATCTATCTATTATTATCTATCTATCTATCTCTATCTATATCTATCTATCTTTATCTATCTATCTATCTATCTATCTATTATCTATCTATCTATCTATCTATCTATCTATCTATCTATCTATCTATCTATCTATCTATCTATCTATCTATCTATCTATTATCTATCTATCTATCTATCTATCTATCTATTATCTATCTATCTATTATCTATCTATTATCTATCTATCTATTATCTATCTATCTATCTATCTATCTATCTATCTATCTATCTATCTATCTATCTATCTATCTATCTATCTATCTATCTATTATCTATCTATTATCTTTTCTATCTATTATCTATCTATCTATCTATCTATCTATCTATCTATCTATCTATTATCTATCTATTATCTTTCTATCTATTATCTATCTATCTATTATCTATCTATCTATCTATCTATCTATTATCTATTATCTATCTATCTTATCTATCTATCTATCTATCTATCTATCTATATCTATCTATTATCTATCTATCTATCTATCTATCTATCTATCTATCTATCTATCTATCTATCTATCTATATCTATCTATCTATCTATCTATCTATTATCTATCTATCTATCTATCTATCTATCTATCTATCTATCTATCTATATTATCTATCTATTATCTATCTATCTATATATCTATCTATTATCTATCTATCTATCTATCTATCTATCTATCTATTATCTATCTATCTATTATCTATCTATCTATCTATCTATCTATCTATCTATCTATCTATATCTATCTATCTATCTATCTATCTATCTATCTATCTATCTATCTATCTATCTATCTATCTATCTATCTATCTATCTATCTATCTATTATCTATCTTATCTATCTATCTATCTATCTATCTATCTATCTATCTATTATCTATCTATATCTATCTATCTATCTATCTATCTATCTATCTATCTATCATCTATCATCTATCTATCTATTATCTATCATCTATCTATCTATTATCTATTATCTATCTATTATCTATCTATCTATCTATCTATCTATCTATCTATCTATCTATCTATCTATCTATCTATTATCTATCTATCTACAGTTGTGACCAAAATTATTCAACCCCCAATGCTGTAAAGGGGTTTAGGGACTATAGTGTACATTTGGAATTGTATTCAGAATCAAATCCTACAAGGACGTTGTAACTACCCAAATGCAACTAAAATGACATCAATTGTTTATGTAATACAGTAGTAAATGGTTCTTATGTGGTTTTCTTCATTGCCACAATTATTCAACCCCTTAAAGACTACCACTCTGAAGAACAGAGGTTCATACAGGTGCTTTCCATCAGGTATTGAAAACACCTGTGGATGTCACCGAGCAGCAATCAAGCATAATAAGCACCAATTAGGCAGCTTTAAAATGACTGTGATACTCAGCTCCTTCTAGACATTTACTGGTGTGGTTACAAACATGGTGAAGGCAAGAGAATGGTCCAGGAAGACAAGAGAAGAGGTGATTTCTCTTCACAGGAAGGGCAATGGCTATAAGAAGATTGCAAAGATGTTAAACATACCAAGAGACACCTTAGGAAGCATCATTCGCAAATTCAAGGCAAAGGGCACTGTTGAAACGCTACCTGGTCGTGGCAGAAAGAAGATGCTGACTTCGACTGCTGTGCGCTACCTGAAGCGTAGAGTGAGAGAGAAGTCCCCGTGTGACTGCTGAGGAACTGAGAAAAGATTTGTCAGATGTGGGTACAGAAGTTTCAGCCCAGACAATAAGACGCACACTGCGTAATGAAGGCCTCCGTGCCAGAACTCCCAGGCGTACCCCCTTGCTGTCTCCAAAGAATAAGAAGAGTCGACTGCAGTATGCCAAAAGCCCATGGACAAACCACAAAAGTTGTGGGATAGTGTTCTGTGGACTGATGAAACAAAATTAGAACTGTTTGGGCCCATGGATCAACGCTATGTTTGGAGGAGGAAGAACAAGGCCTATGATGAAAAGAACACCTTGCCTACTGTGAAGCATGGTGGAGGGTCAATCATGCTTTGGGGCTGTTTTGCTTCTGCAGGTACAGGGAAGCTTCAGCGTGTGCAAGGTACCATGAATTCTCTTCAGTACCAGGAGATATTGGATGGAAACGTGATGCAGTCCGTCACACACCTGAGGCTTGGGAGACGTTGGACCTTTCAACAGGACAATGATCCCAAGCATACCTCCAAGTCCACTAGAGCATGGTTGCAGAGGAAAGGCTGGAACATTTTGGAGTGGCCATCGCAGTCACCAGACTTAAATCCGATTGAGAACCTCTGGTGGGACTTAAAGAAAGCAGTTGCAGTGCGCAAGCCTAAGAATGTGACTGAACTGGAGGCCTTTGCCCATGAAGAATGGGCGAAGATACCCGTAGATCGCTGCAAGACACTTGTGTCAAGCTATGCTTCACGTTTAAAAGCTGTTATAACTGTAAAAGGATGCTGTACTAAGTACTAAGATTGAATGTCACTTGGGGGTTGAATAAAACTGATAATGCTGTGAGCACAGAAAAGACATTTGTGGTTATTTCATTATAACTGTTATGTTATATTTGTCTGACCTACAAGTGCCTCTTTAATGTAAATGTAAGCAAGATGACTGAATGATCAAAAGCAATGTCAAACTGGCCAAAACACTCAATTTCAGTGGGGGTTGAATAATTTTGGTCACAACTGTATCTATCTATCTATCTATCTATCTATTATCTATCTATCTATCTATCTATCTATCTATCTATCTATCTATCTATCTATCTATCTATCTATCTATCCATCTATCCATCCTTCCACCCACATATATTCAGCCGCCCCATGCTCACATTATTGGTTTAGTTCTAGAATTCTACAATAACTCTCCACATTGAGTCTGTGGATTTGTTTCTGTTGACAGAAGTCGTTAGCTCGGTGTGACGTCCGGCTCGGGTATTTATCTAATTAAACAGAGGAGCAAACATTGTGTTGATCTTCCCATTCAGTGGACTCAGGTCCGTTTTCTTTTTTTCCTAACCTATATTCCCGGTCAGTTTGTCTTTTTCAAGGACTTTCCTTCGACGCCAGTAGTTAGCAATCAAATATTGAAATTGTCGGTAAAGGAACCTTCAGCCATCTCATTTTAATTAAATGTATATCTGTCCTTCATCTTCTACAAATATGTAACTGGCGCAGTCAATACTCGGCTCAATCACACGTCACATCGAACTTACTAATGAGTTTTCCCTCTTCATGGAGAAGATAAAGAATGTTCCAGTGTTGTTACATAGCGAGACTTTGCTGGGATGAGCGGGACTCTGCAAGAACGAATGAAGCTTTGCATGGATGAGCGTGACTCTGTTAGGATAAGTGGGACATTCCCAGAATAAGCAGGACTCTGTTGGGATGAGCAGGACTCTGTCAGGATGAGTGGGACTCTGTCAGGATGAGTGGGACTCTGCTGGGATGAGCGGGACTCTGTCAGGATGAGTGGGACTCTGCTGGGATGAGCGGACTCTGTCGGGATGAATGGGACTCTGCTGTGATGAGTGGGACTCTGCAAATATGAATGAGGCTTTGCATGGATGAGCGTGACTCTTTTAGGATAAGAATAAGTGGGACTCTGCTGGGATGAGCGGAACCCTGTCGAGATGAGTGGGACTCTGCTGGGATGAGCAGGGCTCTGTCAGGATGAGTGGGACTCTGCTGGGATGAGCGGGACTCTGTCGGGATGAGCAGGACTCTGCTGGGATGAGCAGGACTCTGTCAGGATGAGTGGAACTCTGCTGGGATGAGCAGGACTCTGTCGGGATGAGTTGGACTCTGCTAGGATGTGCAGAATTCTGCAGGGATGAATGGGACTTTGTTGGGATGAGCTGGACTCTGCAGGGATGAGTGAGACTTTGCAGGGATGACTGGGACTCTGACGGGATGACTGGGACTCTGCAGGGATGAGCAGGACTCTGCTGGAATGAGCGGGACTCTGCTGGGATGAGCAGGATTCTGCTGGGATGAGCGGGACTCCGCTGAGATGAGTGGGACTCTGTCAGGATGAGTTGGACTGTGCTGAAAGAGAGGGACTCTGCTGGGATGAATGGGACTCTGTAAGGATGAGCGGGACTCTGCAAGAATGAATGAGGCTTTGCATGGATGAGTGTGACTCTGTTAGGATAAGTGGGACATTCCCGGAATAAGTGGGACTCTGCTGGGATGAGCTGTACCCTGTCGAGATGAGTTGGACTATGCTGAAAGAGAGGGACTCTGCAGGGATGAGCAGGACTCTGTCGGATGAGCTAGACTCTGCTGGGATGAGCAGGACTCTGTCAGGATGAGTTGGACTATGCTGAAAGAGAGGGACTCTGCTGGGATGAATGGGACTCTGTAAGGATAAGCAGGACTCTGCTGGGCTGAATGGGACTCTGTCGCTGTCAGGTATGCGGGTGTGACCAGAAGTGTGTGGACTGACATAGGGAAACGCA